ATCAAAATATCCCCCATATTTTCCCATATTTTCTCGGTTTCTGTCTTCCCCCCCACTTCCCATATTTTCCCATGTTTTCTGGGAATCGCCGATTACTTGTGTCTGTGTGTTTTTTCCCCTCCTGAGAGTAGTGGAACGCGCTCGGTGAACCACGGCGAGCCAGAGACGCCGTGGGGTGTGGCTCAGCTGGTGCACCCCACGCAGGTGGCACCACCGGGCGGCGCAGAGCCTGGGCGCGCTCGCACTGCGAGGGCTCCCTGCCGCTTCAGGGTGCGCAGACACGGCACTCTTCGAGCCCTCACTGAACCTAGCAGCCCCCTCCCCTGGAGGCCTCCAGAGACCCAACAAGATCACAGGAGAACACCCAGATGACTGCATACTCGATCCTCGTTCCCGGAGGGAGGAAGGAGGAACAAGATGGGGATGAGGATGCGAAGGAGGGAAGTAGAGGTTGAGGAGGAGGAGGAGGAGGAGGAAGAGGAGGAGCAGGAGGAGGAGGAGGTCGAGGAGGAGAAGGGGATGGAGGAGGGTGAGGGGGAGGGAGACGGGGAGGAGGAGCAGGAGGAGATGGAGGAGGAGAAGGAGAAGCACGAGGAGAAGGGAGAGTCCCTCCTCCCGTGGGCGCCCGCTGTCTCCCGTCTGTCGGGTGCTTCCTCTCGGCTCTCGCCCTCGGAACCACGCAGAGGCCCGAAGAGGACTCGTCCCGCCCCGCACGGTCACGCAGTCTGCCAGGGGAGCCCCTTATCCCCCCGTCCCGCCCCCGATGGCCTTGTCGTCGGGCCGCAGGCACCACAGCACCTGGCAGTCGGGGGGGCAGGGAGGCGCAGGGGAAAGGCCGGGGGGCTCTCTGTGTCTCTCTCTCTTTGTTTGTTCTCTCTCTCTCTCTCTCTGTCCATGTCTTTCCCTCTTTCTCTCCCTCTCTGTCTCTCTCTTTCTCTCTCTCTCTCTCTCTCTCTCTCTCTCTCTATGTACCTCTTTCCCTCTTGTTATCCCTCTATTTACCTCTTTATCAGTATATCTCTCTCGCTCAGTCTCTCTTTCTCTCTCTCTCTCTCTCTCTCTTTATCTCTCTCTGTCTCTCCCCCTCTCTCTATCTCTCCCTCGTTCCCTCTCTATACATATATATATATATATGCAAAAATGTACATGTATGCAATATCTAGACATGCATGTAATTATAGAGACATACATAAAACATATGTGCACAGGCTTCCACACATACAAACATACACATATACACACACATGCATGCATGAATGCATACATTCATGCATGAATGCATGCATGCTAACACATACATGCATACATACATGCATGCATATATACATGTATACATGCAGACATACAGGCATGCATACAAGCATGCATACCTGCATACATACAAAAAGGTAAAGTCATGCATGCATACATACATGCATACATACGTGCCTATAAACATACATTTCTGCATACATGCATTCATCCATACATGCATACACATATATATACAGGCATACATGCATCCATACATGCATATGTACCTACAAATATGCATGCATGCAGACACGCCTACATGTACACATACCTGCACAACTACATATATACACATATATCTATAAGTACATACATGCGTACACTTACAAATACCCATACATGCACCTATACATATACATATACATATGCATGTACATATACATATGCATGTACATGTAACTGTACTTGTACATGTGCATGCACGTGTACATATACATGCATACATGTTTATATATATATAGCTGTACAATCATGCATACATACATGCATAGAAAGACATACCTATACAGATACACGTATGCATGCCTACATGCATACATACCTACGTACATACATACATGCATGCATGCAGGCATGCATGCATACATACATACATACATGCATACATACATACATGCATAAATACATACATACATACATACATACATACATACATACATACATACATACATACATACACACACACACACATCCGCTCGAAACAACCTCCCCGAGCGCTTGTGAAAAGTAGCCCCAGGCGCTGGGGACAAGCTCCGCAGATCCCCCCCCCCCCCTCCTGGTGCCCGCAGGCCCGCAAACACGGGCCGCTGCCCCTTCGGACGTGGGGCGCCGGCGCGCGGCAGCACGCGGCCGCGAGGCACGAGACCACAACGAGCACGATCCCCCTTCCTCCTCCTCCTCCTCCTCCTCCTCCTCCTCCTCCTCCTCCCCTCCTCCTCCTCCTCCTCTCCTCCTCCTCCTCCTCCTCCTCCTCCTCCTCCTCCTCCTCCTCCTCCTGCCTCCTCCTCCTCCTCCTCCTCCTCCTAGGCCGCGAGGCACGAGACCACAACGAGCACGATCCCGCCAGCGCAGCACCGAATCGACGAGCCGGATCGGCGATCGAAACTCGGGTCGGGCGAAAGCGGGGGATAGCAAAGGGGGGGTTTGAGAATCAGCTCACGCAGCTGATTTTCCCGGCGCCTCCCGGCGCCGGAGGCGCCCATGTATCGGGGAATGGGCCCCTCGGTGGGGCCGAAACCAGCTGCATGCAGCAAATTTTGTAACCCCCCCTTTCCCAATCCCCCCCTTTCGCCCGGCCCGAGAAACGAATCGGATCGGCGGGAATGGGCAGCCGAGTCGGAAGAGATCGCATCGGCGGAGAGCGGCGGGCTCGCACGGCTCCGATGAGGCCCCGGAGTCCGAAGCGGAGTCAGAGGTCGAGTCGAATCGGAGTCGGAGACCATGGGAATCGAACCGAATCGACTGGGAGAAATCGATGCGAGCCCTGAAGTTGGCAGTCCCACACGGGAGGGGCTCGAAGTATACAGTCGGGCCCAGGACAGGAGAACGTCCTTCAAAAACATGAGACCCTCAGCCGGCCAAAGCCTACAGAACGTCCAAGGGTAGACCCTCCCCCGGATGCACCCAGCACGCCCAACAGACACGAAGAACACTTAGGGCACCCTCTCCAAACCGATCTCGTTCTTTTACCTCGGTCCGACTGTACATCAGATCGTCTCGCACGCCAGGGACCAAGGATTAGGTCGGGCGTGTCCCCCTACAGGCGGAATTTGGAGGAATAAATCAAAATAACTACAAAATACTTCAAAATAGTCCCAAAAATACCAAAAAGTCCTCGCCATATTACGTGTTCACTACTTTTGAATACTCCTCCTGTAGAGGGACAGGCCCGACTAAACACTAGGGCACCCTCTCCGAACCGACCTCGTTCTTGTACCTCGGTCCAGCAACACAGAAGGTCGCTCGGGAGCGGCCAAGAGGGGGGTGTCCAAGAGGGGGGGATGCAAATCATGGCTGGTGGCATGTGCGCGGCCCTTGGGGGGGGGGGCCAGGGACGTAATGAAATAAGAAGAGGCGCCCTGAAATCTGGGGAACTATCCTGGCCCACGCCATGATATCCACCCCCCCCTAGTCATCACCCCCCTCTTTGCCGCCCTCGAGTCGCCTGGTCCGCCAGGGACCAAGGATCTCGGCGCACGGGCGCCCCGGCCTTCCCAGACAGCGGGACTTCGCCGAGCTCCTGAGCTCACTTGAGGCGGCCCAGGGACACACAAAGAAATACACACAAATCCCAGGATTCCCCATGGTTTTCCATATTTTTGGGATTTCCGTCTTCCCCCCCACTTCCCATTTTTTCCCATATTTTCCTGGGAGTCGACGAGTCATTGTGCCTGTGTGTTTCTATCCCTCCTGACCAGTGGGACTTCGCCGAGCTCCTGGGCCAATGCGCCGATCGAACTCCTCTGGGGAAGGATCGGAGGAAGCGGGGAGGATGGCGAATCGAGACGCGTGGAGATCCGCCCTCCGTCACGGGAAGGGGGGGGGAGGGGGGGGTTCGAACCCCCAACACCTCCATCCAGGGAGGTGGCCATCGCTCGGACGTCCATTCCCTGTGTTTTTTTCGATTTCGTGTGTGGCTTTTTCGCCAAATCATCAAGGATGCTCCTCGATGGTCCTCGCCGAAGGAAAGATGCACACGTCCGAACGATGCCAAGGGAGGAGGGGGTGTCCGGTTCCAAGCCCCCCGCCCCCCCTCCAAGCGACCACAGAACGCGCTCTTTCGGAGATCCTCGCGGCATGCCGTGTCTCTGGGGTATCGGTGCCCCATCGAGGTCGAATCCTGAGGCGAAGCCAGGACGAAGATAAACTCGGGTGAGGATAGATCGATGATCTCTGGGATCCGGCGGCTCTGGAGGACGTTTCGGGCACCGCGGCGCTCTCGAAGCGTTCCAGAACGGTTGAAGGCGTTCCGGAACGCTCTGGAACAGATTTTACGCCACACACACATATATATATATATATATATATGTACTCAGACACCCCCCGACGAACTTTGCGTGTACCTTCTTCAGGGATGGCGGCGGTGTACAAAGTCGCTGGCCCCCCGTGGTGATGCACACACTGCTACCCCCCCCTTCACGCCCCAGAGAAATCCATTGGAGGGTGTCTGTGTATATATTGTTTTGTGGCGGGGCCTTAACCTCGTCCTAGCCCCGCCCGAAATCCTCGCCTCGTTCAGTGGGACGCACAGAGACATACTAATACTACACGTCCGCCTCGGAGGCGCGCGTCCGACCCGAACATCTAGTATACCCATCTTGCAGTATATCGTTTCCCGAGCGGCGTGGCCAGAAAGCGCCCGCCAAGACGCATGTACCATAAGATTTGTCGGTGCGCGCGTCGCCCCTGTGGGGGGCGACGCACATGTAGCATAGGTATGTTGGGGTGACGCCGATCCTCGAGCGCCATAACGGGCGCTACACGTCGCTCATGTCTCATCGCGCTCGTTTCTCATTGTGCTCGTTGACTCCTCCGCTCTCCGTGCCTTCCTCTGCCGCGTCCCCGTGCCCTCCTCCGCGACTCTTCCTGGGGGCGGTTCGCCGCCTGCCCGGCGGGCTCGGGGGGCCCCGCTGGGGACCGATGCGGCGGGATGCGGCGCCTTCAGGCCACTGCTCGCCTCCCCCTCTCCCTCCTCCCCCTCCCCCCTC